ATGGGAAATATTGTTATGGCGCGAATGTTTCTAAGACCCATGAAGCCAATTGAGATTAATTATGAGCCTTTATTAGCCAGCCGGCGACTGACTCTCTACCACGCAGGGTTAGAGGAGATCAGCCCCCAGCTTCCAGAGGAGGCAGCTTATAAAGCCTCCAACTATATCCTTGAATAAGCAGATTACAAGAAGCAGAAGTTAGCCGTTAACGTTTTGTACAAAGATAAATGTATCCGGGGAACTCTCAGATCAAACAGGGCCTAGCAGACAGTTTTATCATCTGCACCTTGGAATGTTGTGCTTCTCCTGGGGTGGGCGCCTGGAGACATCACCTCCCTGTAACTGAAGAATTTCCACTTTTACAATATGCGTAAATTGAAATTGCATAAAACTAATGTTTTGTGATCAGATTCAGAATATGATTTTCTTATTTATTTTTGCCAGTAAAATCACAGCACTGATTATATGTCTTTCCATGTGCCTCTGTCACCTAAGCCATTTGTTCCATTCCACCTGATTTTCACTTAATTGACATGCTGTCCTTACTGTAAATATTTTTCCTTTTATCATTAATAAGGGTCTTGAGGGGATTTATTGAGAGATGTGCAAATATCATCACATTTCATTTGGAAACTCTTTTCTTCTTACTTTTTGCTCTGGAAAATGAAGGCCCTTACTTTTCTTTACTAGAGATAATTAGCTTTTCTTTCTTTAAACAAAAGACTATTGCTTAGTAATTAAAAGTATTCAGACATATTTTTTACATAATTTATTGCAAGGAGGTCCATGTCAAATAAATTTATTTTCATCATTTGCTTCAATTTATGTCTTCTTGACCAGTTCTTCTATTTTCCTTGCAAAATGTTGCATGCCACACCTCTGAGGCAATAAAGAATTTTTAAACATCACAACTAAGGACCTGAACCTTCATCTACAGTTACCTATGTGCTCATTAGATGCAGTCATTCTAGTGGTTTTAGTCATCCTCTACAATAAGTGCTTGGAAAATATTCATCATGACAACCTTCATTCATCTTCAACATGTAGGCTCTGCTGCACCTCGAGAAGCTGAGCGATGGGCTGACAGGCACTGGCACTCAGACTGCATGGTTCATATGGTGCACGTAGCTATTGTCTTATGCCCCTTTCTCCCTCTGTTGCCTTGTGGAAAAAAAGCAGGATAACTGGCTTTTCAAGTGGAAGCTTTAATCAGTCAAATCTTGTCCCTGTAAACTTTTATTATATACCACAATCACAGGCATACATACTCTACTTTATCATTTTTTTTTTGTATTTCAAGAAAGTTTACAAGAAGCATGTTAATGTATTTTCAAGTGTATTAAATTTCTAGTGAATAGCTTAAAACAAATGATACGCAAAATTTTTCAATGAATTAAAAGACTAAATAACAATGGCTCTAACTTATTTTACATTATTGTGTGTTTCCCTGTTTTGTGTTTAAAAAATAGAAAGCATATCATCCACAGATAGATTCATGAGATTCACAGAATTGCAAAATAATCTTGATTTCATGGGTGTATAAATTCTATTCTCTATCACTTTCAATGTGTACATAGTTTCCATATGTCTTTCTGTGTACATAAAATGTTAACAGTGTTGGAACTAATCTTTATTCTTATGTGTTTAAGTTCTCTCTATTTTTCTGTTACAGAAACTGTAACAGAAAGTTCATGAGGGTTGTCTATACATATTGATCTGTGTTCTTTTTTGAAAAATTCTACCTAACATTTGAAGTAAAACCCGGCTCTATTATTTACTGGATGTTTTACAAAATGTTCTCATAAAAGAAGAATAATAGAGTCCTCATATTACTTATATGCATTATGAATTAATATATAAAAAACTGTGAAAACAATATCTAGTACATAGTAATTTTTCAAGACATTAGCATCACTAGTTAAAAGTGAGCTTGTTAAAATGTGGAAACCCAGGTCCCCACCTCAGAACTCAATTGAAATCTCCATTTTTCAATCTTCATTGTTGTCCATGTTAAAATTTGAGAAGTCCTTTACACTTCTAAGTCGTCATGATTTCCTGCTGTTTTTACGACATTCAAAAATCTATATGCCTGTGTTAACACCATAAATTTAATTTCCCAGAAAAGTAAAATCTCTCTAGTGACTTTGCGGGTCATATGTCATTGTATCTTAGAGTTAGAAAATAAGTTTGAGAATGTTACTGTCAATAATCTTAATATTTAATTCTGGATACTCTCCTAGGTCAAAACTAGTTTTCTTAAATCTGTTTTTATATTGGGTCACATTATGACCTCTGCCCATGGACACTTGGTAAGTGTATTTTGATTTAGGAATGGTCGACTGTAGGGTTGTAGCCATAGATTTCTCTTAGGAGGAGTAGGAATGTCTGGACCCAGCTCAGCAAAATTTGTACATAGATGTGATGCTGGAGAACTACACAAACTTGGTCTCCCTAGGTGAAGATGACTTACTTCCAGAATTCCTACTCCACTCATAGGGGTTTGTTTCCTTCATTAGTACAATGTCTCCTGGAAACTTCTACTTTGTGTGGTAGAGTTTCAGATCCCTGCTCTCAAGAAACAAATTGGAGGTTTGCTGATGTTGAAAAAAAGTCTTCATGATATACTTGGAAATGGAACTCAGGATTTGAAAACTTTACATGTTGTCTAGTAGAGTAAAGGTGCTGTCACAACAGTAATTGGGGAGTCTTTTTCTAGAATATTCTAACACTCTGCAGGGTCCTATCTTCTCAACTGAGCACAAGCTGGATTGGAAATGGAGAAGCTCCATCAAAACTTATGTTCCTTTTTTAATAAACAGGTTTTGCTGTCTATAATCCAGGCTTGGTCACCTTCGTGGAGCAAATGATAAAGGCCTGGGATATGAAGAAAAAAGATCCAATGTCCATTCGCTAGGTAGATGGGAATAAAGGAAGCAGATGACACAGCGAGCAAGCTAGATGTCACAAAGAAACCCTATTATTAAATGTCAGTTGGGAAACTCTGCTTCAGTGGAAAGGATTTTGAGGAGCCCAGGTTTTTTCTGTCACTGTCACAGAAAAACAGGTCCTCTCCAAGGCATCCAGTGCTTTTATATCCTTTAGAATCTCTCTACCTGCTCCATGATCTTTATCACATTCACAGTGAGAACAAATGTCCTCCCCTTGGCCTATGGGCACTGGAAGGGTCTGCCTATGCTTCCATTGCCTTGGGGGCCTGAAAAAGTCTACGAACATACTGAGGAATTCTATGTTAAACAATTTTTTAAGTTCCATTCTTGCCTCATGTGAGGAGTTTGTGAACAAAGTGGTAGAGATTCTAGAATTTGGTGCAGGAATCTCAGAACCACTGGGGGCAGATAGTGTATTGTTCTGCTTTATAATTTCTAATCTTAAAGAGGCTTCAAACTTGACCCTACAAAACTGAGACTCAGTAATTTCATCACAGCACAAGGCATCTCCCTAAAATAAGGAAACTTTATTTTTTGTTTCACTTGCAAATGTTCTTTTCATTTGTATCTTGTATCAATGAACATTTGAAAATTTTAGTTTGTTCCCCAATTCCTCCATGTTAGAATGGTTAATGTATCTCACAGAATTCGTCAATAAATTAATTACAGAGGAAAGCTTAAAACGTTGCCCACCAAAGAGTAAAGTCTATATTGTGACCTGATTTCTTAATAACTATCATTTTATTATTCTATCTTGTTCAGTTCCAAACTTCCCGGGCCACATGAAGAAGCCTTTGCTCCCAAATCAAAACAGTTTCACTCTCTCCAGAAAAGGAATTCCAGGGTGTGGTTGTCAAGCGCTCCCAAGAGACTCACAAGGGAAAATACAGGTTCCTGTAGATCTCCAACATGACCTTGTAAAAGGCCCTCTGAGCTGAGTCCCAACATTCCCACTTCATTTGAGGGAATTCCTTGGCCACAACCCTGAATATCAACTGTCCCTGAAAGGAAAACACAGTTCACTTAGTGGACAAAGAGAGAGTTCTTAATCCAAGTGAGAGAAGCAGAGATAGGCAAAAATTAATTTGGCCAGTGAGTGTTCTGACTGATCCTTGTTAGATAACTTGGAGGAACTTATGTCTATTTGTTTTTAACTGAAATTTAAATAATATAAGGTTGGCCACGTTAAAGTACAATTCAGTACCATTTTGTACATTCAGAGTGTTCTACAAATACCACATCTAGTTCTAATGCACTTTTAGCAGCAAAGGAAAAGCTTTATTCATGAATCAGTTCCTTCCATTCCCCTTCTAGTCTCTGGATAGCACTACTATGCTTTCTGTCTCTATGGATTTCCCTATTATGAACTTTGCATGTACATGAAATCGAGAATCATGAAATCATGAAATCATGGTGAATGGGGACTATAAAAGGAAATGTTCCGTTGGTTTATGAACTTGCCTGTCCTACCCAGAGAGAGCTTTGTATTTCAGTTAGTAAGCCTTCCCCAGACGACTGCAGTTCTTGTTCAGTTAAACCGCTTACATAGTTTTAATTGCAGAAATGATCCTAGGTACCACTCCTCCCCACATCCACTTGTCACTGAGATTACAGTTCACATTAGGTTGCTTTAGCCTCACTACCAGGACCTGCGTGCACATAGCTCACAAAAATAGCTTTTGCCTTAAACCAGTTTCAACTTATTAAGCAGAAAACTTCTTAGTTTCCAACAGAAGTGGCTCACATAACTTTAATATTTTATCCTCAAACCGTTAGACATAGTAACTGAAAAGGTACAGACAGCTCCAACATGCGCTACAGCCACTCAGAAAAAAATCTTGATAGGAAAGCCCGAGAACGCTCAAGTCCCGCCCACGCCACGCCCTTACGCCGCTTTCTTTTTCATTTTGTTGCGGTCACTGCGCATGCCTGGCCTCTCACCACGCCCCGCTTCAAACCAATGTGTCTTCTCCACGGACAAGTCTCTTTGTTGATTCTGCTCCATTCTGGCCCG